CTTACTCATACTACTGCCGACACTATCGATTTAGATACCTTCTATAACCAATTCCCAAACCGTTTCGGAATTTGGATTCATGAAAACAACTATACCTTATGCAATTATGTAAATTATGTCTTATGTATTGTACAATGGTAGTTTAAGATTTTATATATAATATGGATTACTTAAAGTACATATTATATAACACATGTGTATATATTAATACTTAATAACATAAAGTATAATTAGACTTAGTGCATAATTTACATATTATAAATGTTATAACTAATCTTAAAATACATAATACTACACCACATGGTAAATAATCAAATATTATAAAAAAATTATTAACCTTGTATATAAGGGAGATAACAAATTATTGAATTAGCAAGGGGTAGATTTTGTAAAAATGCTATATATAGCTTTATTAATATCATCTAGAGCTTGTTGGACAAGGTCTAAATTACTAATATCTTTTTCTTCATTGTTTAGTTCTTCAGGTAGTGATTCGATAATAGTTTTATCATTGTCTGATAAGTCTCAAAAGCAAGAATAATATTCAGTATCAGGACTTGCTAGTATAGATTGTATTTTATTAAAAATATCACCTTCAAAAAGATTATTAGTTGTTGTAGTTTGGTAAGAGATAGAATTATTAGTACTGTTAGAGGTATAAATGACAACAGGTGCAACTCTAGTTGATTGAATATTTTTCTTTTTTTTCTTCATTAGGTTCTTCTTCTTGTTGTTAAAACATTCATCAGTTTTTTTACCTATTGATTTATTAACTTCGCTAATAATATTTGAGTTACTAGTATTGCTTAAACTATTAAAAACTATACTTGTTATATTTTTTTGTGGCTAGTTTTCACCAAATAATTCTTCCACATTTTTTTGTACTATTTCATTACTAACTTTTTCATATTTTTTTTATAATACTAGGGTTCATTTTGTTTCAAAAAAGCTAACCAACTAATGACACCCCTGTTAAAGTTAAATTTTGTCCTAGTTCTCTTGTAATATAATGGTTTAAAAAGTTTTTAAAAACTATAAAATGATTGCTTCTTTTTATTTCAGGTTTTTTCTGTTTGTTCCTCTTCTGCTGTAATTGGAAAACAGAAAAACTAATAATTTCTGTATAGGTAAGGTTAGGCAAATTAGGAATTGTGTTTATTAAATGCAAATATTCATCAGATAAATCAATTAAATTGACTTCAACTAACTTAATAATATTGTCTAAATTAGTATTAGATACAAGACTTGATGCTGGATTATTGGGACTAAGATTAATAGTAAAGAATAATATAATATTCAAATAAATTGTGTAATGTAACTAAAAACAAATACTATGTTAAAAAGGCCACAAAAATACTTGACTTGGACTTGCCACTGGTCTTTTATAAAAGTTCTTAACCTATGCATTAATGTGTCTAAACTCATAATTAAAATGCTAATTTAGTAAGTTTATACTCTGCAAACTATCAAAAAAATCACCTGTTAATTGATATAACCTTAACTGAGCACAATGCAATCTACTAACAACTAATTGAATAAGAACTTACTCCTATGCAGTAATCATTGTACTCAGATTAGGCAATATGAACTTACTAATGAACAGTATTAAGAGACTGAGTTTTATACTCTAACCAAATTAGTCTGTATTAGCTAACTGATAAACCAGTAACTAAAATAACAACTATATTGTTCATTGTACTCGGATTAAGCTACTGTGAGAGTGCTACTCCTGATACTAACATGTAGAGATAAACTATATTTAGTATAATCTGCTTAGCAATGATAATACCATTCCTGCTTAGTTTAGATATATTAAATATTTAAATATGTTATGCCTTTTATGAAGATTCCTGTATACCAGAATAATACTTTGTTGCCACTAAAAACAACCTTATAATAAAGGTTTAAGTTTAGCAAATCTGAGAATGAATTACTTAAGGCTTGGCATTTAGTTGCTGACTCTTATTTAAATTGCTGTATTAGGTTTAGTTAGACAACTAGTGCTTTACTGTTTCACTAATAAGCTATTTTATCTTAATGGTATGTGTTTGCCATGGTTATATTACAAAAGGGCTGCTTTTTGCATGATGTATACCTCAAAAAACTGTACCAGTATTACAACAATAATAACTTTATAGTTTATTATATTAAACCATTAAAGGTTATCTAACTAATTAGTGCCCTGAGTTAGTTGGTGGTAATACAATATCTATGCTTTACAGAGTAAGTTACTGATAATAACCATAAAACTCTGAACTAAAATTATTTAAGCATAATATTGTTTTTTTGTTTTGATCAATTTAAAAATAAAATTTTAACTAATCTAACCAGTAATAATGTCTGCTATGTCTCATGATCATCATCATATACATGGTATCTCAACTTCATATATACGTTGTCCCAACACTTGTGCTTGCAAATATTATCACCCTGGCATTTATCTTATTTGTACTGATTGTTTTTTTTTTTTTTTTTTTTTTTAAGAGAGGTCTTTCCTCTATTTCTTTATTTCAAAATATATAATTGGATACAACTTGTACAAATTTATACATTTAACGAAAGGGAGTAGAAGTTAGGGCT